TGCAATTCACATTAGCCACATCAGAGATGCAGATTAGCCACACTACTGACTATTGATGTTTATTTGCTTTGTAACTTTGTGAATTGCATTAATTTGTTGATAAAAAAAAAAAAAGATGCAGATATTCCTCACCATTGTGCAGTCATTTACTCATTGAAAAAACCTCTCCAAATTGCATAATAATAATAATCATGATGTGTAGTAACAATAAAAACAAAAAACATCAGCAATACTAAGAACAAATGCATTTAGTGGTAAGATTTTCGAGGCAGTTTCTTAGGATATCCAACTGCTTTCAAGTCAATCCATTAATTTAGTGATTTTTCTTAAATAAATAAGCTGCAACAACATAAATGTTGATCCTTTCATTCTAATAGTTCATGCATTTCCTTTATATTAGGCAACCACAATCTGACCTCTTTTATCAATCAGTAATTCATGAGCATGACAACGCTACAACATAAATAAGCAAAGGGCCAACTGAGGAAATGGATCATAGCGCTAAATATATGTACCAATTTTTTTTATTGTGATAGATGTGAGCTGTACAAAGCCAGTAATGTATGCAAATATCTGCAATATAAAGCCATTGGTTAGGAAAACTCTTTTTGCCACATACATAAACAAAAAATTCATGTCAATTGTAGCTACAAAGCATCTTATAAATATGAAACATGATATGTGTATAATAGAAAATGATGTATACCTCCTTATAATGTGTACAAATCTTGTAACTCATATCGAATAGGAAACCCTAAAGAAGGGTCATGAAGAACTACGAAGTTCACATGTTGAATCAAGAAGTGATATTCTTCTAAAAAGTTATGGCCACAAACCAGAAACCATTTAATTTCTAATGACAATGATTATCACTTATTGTCAAAATTCAAACTTAAAAACCACTGACTCGCAACAAGGAACTCTTTTCTACTTTACCCTTCTAGGCAGAGTAACATGCATTTTTTTTTTTGGGGGGGGGGGGTCTCTATTAGATTCAACACAGATTCTTGTCCAATACGGATACTAGCCTTCGGTAATTTAGATAAGTAGAATCTAAAAATGATCAACTTACTGATATTATGAACAGAGAGGGGTGTTAAAAAAAAAAGGAACAAGATAGAAATATTTAAAGCATTTTCTTTGTGAACAAGAAGTCATGAATATATTTTCTTCAGTAAGCATTGTTGAGGAAGAAATGACATTATAGTTTTTGTTAGTATCAGCAATAGCACCAAATATGCTGATTCCAAAATACATCTACAATATGAATGAAATTAACATAGAATTTTCTGAAGTCCTCAAGACAATACATATATATATCAGTTTTTGAATGAGAAGAACATGAATACTTTTATAAGGATGTCAAAATCAGTATACCAAAATTACATCTGCCAACACTAGAGACTATCATATGACAAAGTAAAACACATACTACCAGCTGACAACCAAAATATCCTGATTGTTTTCTTAGTGACAAGGCAGGCACACAGCTCTCTATTAGATTCAACACAGATTCTTGTCCAATACGGATACTAGCCTTCGGTAATTTAGATAAGTAGAATCTAAAAATGATCAACTTACTGATATTATGAACAGAGAGGGGTGTTAAAAAAAAGGAACAAGATAGAAATATTTAAAGCATTTTCTTTGTGAACAAGAAGTCATGAACATATTTTCTTCGTTAAGCATTGTTGAGGAAGAAATGACATTATAGTTTTTGTTAGTATCAGCAATAGCACCAAATATGCTGATTCCAAAATACATCTACAACATGAATGAAATTAACATAGAATTTTCTGAAGTCCTCAAGACAATATATATATATCAGTTTTTGAATGAGAAGAACATGAATACTTTTATAAGGATGTCAAAATCAGTATACCAAAATTACATCTGCCAACACTAGAGACTATCACATGACAAAGAAAGTAACACACATACTACCAGCTGACAACCAAAATATCCTGATTGTTTTCTTAGTGACAAGGCAGGCACACAGCTCCCGATTAGATTCAACAATCTCAAGAGACTACATTGTTGGATTAAAGAAGTCTTCAATCCCTTGAACGATAACTTGCCCATCGTTGAAAATCTCTCAATCTTTGATCTTGACTTCGTTAATGGAAGCGGATTGGCTTTTGGGTAGTGTTGTAACAACCAGTGGATGGCCTCCGAGCAGGGTATTGAGCTTGGACTCGCATGGGTGAGATGATTTGAGAGCCTCCCTATTGAGCTTTGTGGGAAAGATGTGATATTGAAGGAGAGTGAATGGAGGTTGTGGGTACTTGAGAGAGAAGAAAGCATTGTCAGTAGGAAAGAATATAGTAAGAGTGGTGTTGTTGTTGATTAGTTCAGAAGGAATCAAAGTTGGGACAGTTTGCTCTAATATCATCATCTATGTAACCCATGTTGGAGAGAGAACTTGAAATCTTGGAAACTTCTAAGCCATGAAAGCCTTTTTCTTCCGCTGCGCTTGTAACTGGAAAGCTTGAAAGAATTGAGTGAAAAAGAAGAAGAAGAAGAATTACAAAGGAGATAGTGAGCTTGGAAGCTATCATAGGAATGAAAGAATAAAAGACAAAAATCTATAACTACCACCGTTACTACAAATCTATAACTTGGCTAAACCTATATACTTTTCTATATATATGCACACTTACATAGATCTCTAATGCTATTTGGATTGGGTTTTGCTAAAGAGTACACCTTTATGGATTTAAAATGGATTGTTGTAGTGTGAACTTATGCCTCAAGGGACCTAAAAATTGAGCTAACAAATTAGGATTCTTTTAAAAATCAAGAAATAAAATAAAATAATGTTTTTATGATACATAAAGATAGTAAGTTCATATTAATTAAAACGCTTCCATTTATTAAAGTTTGCCTTTTCTTTTCCTTTTTTTATCTATTGGACAGTGGTTGGTAGGTTCCTAAACGTGTGATTGTTTTTTGAAAACTCTGATCAACTAGGTTTTCTAATTCCAATGGGACAAGGTTTCAATATACTTATATATTAGGGTTCTCAATCTATACAGATTACATTCTACAATACACACATTGCTCTTAGCGGCTTTACACCTTTCTCTATTCTTCTTCAACTTCTCCTCATCAATCTACTGTTTTTCCTTCATGGCCTCCAAGCTTTCACTTGCCTTTCTTCTTCTTGTTTTTCTTTCAATCCCTTCACAACCCACTATTTCAACAGCTGTGCAAACAAACCATCATGATCATGGATTGAATGTTGGGATGATCTCGGGTGCCCTATCCAACAAGGGTTACAGCCATGTCCTTAATTCTCGAACAAACCCTCCCTACTTTGATACCTTTCGAAGTAATCCACAATACTACAATCACCATATTTTGCCCACTTGATAAGGCTTTCTCGTCTTCCCAGTACCCTCAGCCACCATTCACCCTCCTGCAGTACCACATTGCACTTCTAAGACTTGATAGGGAGGCTCTTCAATCATCTCTTCCATACAAATCCAAGGTCGATACTCTCCTTCCCCATCACCCACTTGTGGTTACTACATCACCCCATCATAGCGATCACACTTCCATTAATGGAGTCAAGGTCACAGATTGGGATATCTACAACGATGGACATGTGATCGTTCATGGGGTAGAGGACTTCTTTGATCCTGCATTCCAGACCCTTCTATATCCATGGTACGACGGTAGGGTCACAAAGAATGAGAATTAGAATGAGTGCAGAACTGGAAAGGATTTAAATATAAAGTTGAGCAGGCTTTATTGGTTGAAAGAGGTGATGATGGAGCAGAGGTTTTTCCTCATGGCGGCAAGTCCTGTCTACGCTGGATCATGTCTTTCTCTTGCTTGCCTCTGTCGCTGGAATCGTCAAGATGGTGGATATGTTTACAGTAAGCCAGATGATGGTGTTTTGGTTTGAGGAAAAGAACTAATATTTCTTGGAGATTCATAGAATCATAGTCTTGTGCAGTTTTTCATAAATTTTTATGAATGTTTTTATTTGTTAGACTCTTGTTTCATTCAGATTCAAAACTGCAAGAGAATACAACACTGTAATTGAGATATTACTAAGCTTTTATAAATTACAACAATTCCAATTAAGAAACATCTTTCCCTTTTTATTTTTATTTTTTTGTATATTTTTTCATATATATATATATATATATATACTACCAATTTGCATATGGGTTACATGTAAGGAACATTATACAAATACAAAATGAATTTTATTGATTATGGCTTGTTGGGAATTTTTTATTTTATTTTTTGACGGTTTGTTGAAGTCTTTTAATTTACTGGGAATGGGGCTCCTTTTAAAAGTGGTTAAGATTCAAATAATGTATTATGAAGCTTATATATAGATTGAATTTGAATCACATATTAATATTTGAAAATAAGTTTTATACGGTAAAATTGAGTGAATTTTGTACATGGATATGGTATATCTATGTGGTACCTTCCACTATTGTTGAGTGTTTAGGAAACACTAATATTGTGTTTGGTTGGGAGATTTGGAAAAGAATTTGAAAAAGGAAAGAGAAAATGTAGGTGAAAGGTCATTTCATCTAGTTTCGTACATCTTTACCCTTTCCATTTCCAAATCACTCTCCAAATTCTCCAATCAAAAACAACGAAAACATATAAATTTGTGATTGATGAAAGGATAGTGTCACTTGGTACTCTATTGATATACAAAACTTTTTCTATATTTACAGAATAATCATATGAAACTTAAATCTCTTTAATAATGCTTTTAAATAAAATTTCAAATGTGTAACATTTACAATCATCCACGATTTTTAGCAATGATTTAGAAAATCATTTTGGGTTTTCAGATTTTAAGTTTCTGGGGAAAAAGATGGACAGATTAAAAACGTTATCATTTTTCAACAAATCCTTTTTATTTCTATCAATAAATCTCTCCATAATTCTAAGATCAAACGCGACATTAGGATAAACGAAAAACGATTCATGTAGTTCAGGAAAATTAAGCACATCGATAAAAATACTTAAAGATGACCATGAAAACACATTAGATCGAGAATACACATCCATGACAAGCACATAAAGTTCCTCCCATCCAAAATGACAAGCACATTAAAGTTCTTCCCATCCAAAACCAGACAGCCGAACTTGATTTCACATTACTTGGAGATAACAGAGCAATCTGTCATACTCAAGAGAGACATTAAGATCTAACCAAGAGCCAGTCTATCATTTCAGAAGTGCACAATCAATTTCTTGTCCGTGCAAATTTGGGTCTTGAAGCTTTCCTCTCCATCTTCTCTCTCTTTTTTCTCGACTTTTCATCCTCTTCAGGTCCCTGTCGAACATTATTTTGATACTAGTGAGAACTTATCACACCAACTCTTACAGATGCTTTGTATTTGCTTACAAAGATATAACATATATCTGGCGGAAAGAATACCTCTGAACCAAGTGACATAAATCCTCTCACAAAACCAAGGAGTTTGTATGCTGCAAACGCTGGTATCTGGAAAGCAAAAGCAAAAGACAATCTAGTTTAGGTATTCTCTTCAACAATATTTGGTTCTTTCACCAATACAGACCTAAATAATCCTCACTATATAACCAACGGTCTGGTCAATTTATAATGTAAATGTCAAGTCAATGTAAAATCTTGCAAATATATCACGTGCAGACTCCGAAAGAAGATTAACTTAAGCATTGTACAGGTCCAAGCAACATCTGTTTAAAAGGAAACACATTCAATAATAATGTTCTCCATTACTTTATTTGGTCAGATGATCATTCTAGCAATGTAATAAATCCTAATTATTTTTTATTCTTTTTACCACACACAACAATTTCACTGAAAGTAATGCAACCTTTCTCTAATTGCATACTGACGCAGACTTCATCATGCACTTTAATACCTATGACCACCTCAACTGGTAATCGCATGCTAACCAATCTCTTCTTGAGATTGTGACCTTCAAGGAGCTAGGGAATAAAACAAATTATTAAAAAAGCTTGGCAGACTTCCAAAATCAAACCTTGTGTGCTAGCCTAAACCTTTTCAAGCCAAATTCTTGAATGAATGTGAATTTTAATTAAAAAGGTCAAGCAACCCCATCATCCACCTTACAATGTCCCAAAAAGTTTTCTAGATGCAGTTATTCATCACCATCTTGTAGTTAGATGCACTCATTAAAAACCCTCTCAAAATTTCAATGGCAGCAAATAAAAATAATGGAAACACAAGAAGCAAGCATAGCAAGGTCCTCACACAAGCAGTGCCATACAATACATAATATTGAATAGTAACAATAAAAACAAAACAACAGCACAAATAATAACAAATTCATTTAGGAATAATACTAGGAATCATGAAAAAAATATCATGAAATGCTTCATGAAGATTTTTCTTCATTTGATTAGTGTGTGGTGTTTTATTATATGTGTGTGGTGTTTTATGATATGTGTAATCTAAGGGTGAAAATTTTTCATGATCTTCATGATGTTTTTTTCGTGATCCCTAGCATTACTCTTCATTTAATGGTAAGATGAGGTAGTTCATTAGGGAATCCAAGTCCTCAAGAGCCACCATATTAAGTAGATGAAGAACACAGTTGCAAGTCAATCCATTAATTTAGTGATTTTTCTTTGAATGAATAAACTGCAAAAACATAAAAGTTAATCCATTCCTTATGATAGTTCGGGCATTTCCTTAACATTAAGCACTGCATTAGAATCCCAAATCTTAACTTGCATACTTATATATAAACGCCAGGCAACCACAAGCTGGCCTCTTTTGTTAATCAGTAACTCAAAAGCCTAACAACACTATAAAATAAGTCAACAAATGCTGGAAGCAAACCAATTCAGGAAATGGATCTTACCACTAAATAAATGTACCAAAAAATTTCAGAGATGATAGTCGTGAGCTGCACAAAGCCAGTAATGTAGATTACATCATGCAAATATCTGCAATATAAAACCATGGGTTAGGTAGAACTCTTTTTATCACATTTATAAACAAAAAATACATGTTAATTCAATTGTAGCTACAAAGCATCTTATAAATATGAAAAACGATATGCATGTACTAGAGAAGGGTCATAAAGTACTACAAATTTCACATTTCAAACCAAGAAGTGATATTCTTCCAAAAGGTTATGACCACAAAACTAGAAACCATTTATTTTAATGACAAAGATTATCATTTATTATCAATTCACAACTCACAAAACCACTGACTTGCAATAAGGAACTCTTTTCTGCTCTAGACTTCCAGGTGGAGTAAGATTGAACAAGATTGAAAAATATTAAGCATTTTCTTTACTCTAAAACTTACTCAAAATGGACAATACCACCAAACTGCAAATATCATCCAAAACTGAAGCGTATGTATGTTACTTCAACATAATATCAAAGGCGAAAAGCTTCCATAATCCCCAACCTCACCCAACGATTGATATTAATAAATGTTAATTTTAGGTAGAAGGAACAAGAAGTCTGCATCTATGCTCTTCAGGAAGCATCGTTGAGGAAGTAAAGACATTATAATTTTTCTTAGTATCAGCAATAGCACCAAATAAATGCCTATACTGATTCCAAAAAATACATCTACAATATGACTGAACTAACATAAAATTTCCTAAAGTCCTCAAGAGTCGAGACATGACATATATCAATTTTTTAATGGAAGAACATGGGTTCACTCAATACTTTTACAAGGATCTCAAGATCAGGACACTAAAATACATTTGCCAACTTTAGGGACTAACTATCATATGACCAAAAAGTAACACACATACTACCAGCAGACAACCAAAATATCCTGATTGTTTCCTCAGTGACAAGTCTGGACACAGCTCTCTAATCGGATTCAACATTGAGATATCAAGAATTTAGGCATCATTAAATAACTAATGGGAACTCAAATCTTTATTGATCAGTAGAAACTGGAAAAGGTAACTACAAAAAGGCACTCATACATACGACATACATATACATGTTATAAATTTAAAGTAGTATTATGTTATTTTTTTAATTACAAAAAAATAAACTACTGATATATTTGACATAAATAAATTTATAAAAATGTTAATGCGTCCAAGACATACGGTGACTTCCATTTTTTGAAAATCTTCGTTTCAGCGTGTCTATGTCGTGTCACGTATCCATTTTGTGCTACTTTGCCAATATTTTTCAGAATTTCATGGCAATTATACACTGTGGATACATATTATTCAAGGGAAAAAATAGCAGGTCTGTCGAGTTTGAGTTAATTGAGCTTTGTAGGTCAACAAAATTGTCATGATCAACCTAATATTGAAGAAAAAAGTGTAACGAGCATTCCCAAGTTTAAAAAATACGAAGATCTAGATAAATACACAATGAAAAAAGAGGTCATTGAAATCCATTTGATTGAGAAGAAAGTAAGGAAGTTTGCCAATGATGATAATCAACAAGTTTTAATGTAGTCCAGACAACTAATGTCTCGCCAGTCAGCACCCCAAATGCCACAACAGCACATGCAACAAGAGATTATGTTACAAGTCCAGAAATGGGACAAACACGAGAGAATCAATTTACACATCAAAAGATATAGTACAAACCATAGGAGGCAATTCGTATTTTAAGCAAACCTCAGGGGGTATATTTGTAATTTACCCAATTAATATTGTACTAGTATTGGAAGATTGTCAAATGAATATCAAGTTAGGGGGGAAAGATTAATCTTGAATACAAATCTAATGCAACAAGTGTAAGCATATCAAATTACTTCAAACAATTGAACTCAAGGATGAGGAGGGGGGGGTTGTTTTTAAATAAATAAATAAATAGAGGGAGAGTGATGTAGGACAAGATTTTCGGAGTTTCTATATTTTAATTTTAGTATTTTAGTATTTTATTAAAAATCTGGCAATTTGGCATGGAATAGATAATAAATATTAGGTTCCCTAGTTGATGTTGATATAAATATCTACGTAAGCCTTGGGCCAAAGACAACATTCATCAATAATATTTCAAAAATTTCTCTTTCTCGTAAATTTGAGTGCCCCTTTCTTCTACTAGAACAATATCCAATTCCCATGTATATTTGGTTGCATCATTATCCTTCAAGATTTAGGTTTTCTAAAGCTTGAAGAAAAAGATATAAAAAAGATACCAAAACTAAAAATATGAATGAGCTTCTCTCTTTGTGTGTGTGCGTTCTTGCACACGTACGTGTGTGCATGCTCTGCTTCTCTCAACCTTCATAACCCTACCATCACTTATCTCTCTTGTTCGTTCTTTCTCCCTTATCCTCTCTTACCTTCCTCTTCCTCTTAACCCTCATCTCTCAAAACTCTTTCTTCATCCAACTCTTCTCCCTCCCAAGACTCTTCTCCGACATTCTTTGTTTTTTTTTTTTGGGTAGGTTCTCCTACGTAATTACTTCTCATCCCTCTTTTTTGTTTCCCTTTTCTCTATTCTCTTCCTCCATCCCCATTTGTAGAAGCCCATGTAGGATAGATCAACATCACTTCCACAATTCAGCCATCATTTCTATTCTAAGCATTGCAACTTCTCCGCTATTCAAATTCTTATATTTGCACTCATTACACTTTTCAAAAACTTCATTTTACAAATAAGCAAAACGATTTTGGTTCAGATATAAAAATGGAACCAAAATATCAACAAACCAGAGAAGATTAAATATGAAACCTGGAAGAAACAAAAGCTGAATAACATTAGGGAAACATACCCACAAACTCCATCAGTAGTCAAATCAAACCCACCATCTTCAAGCTCCCCACTTTCAGAATATGTAGGTTTTGCCATCATGGCAAGTTGTTGATAGGGGATAACGTATGCGAAAAAAGTCAACATGAAGCCAACCCAATGCTTCCACTTGAAAGTAGAATGGAGGATCCCCGCCCTCACCACAAGATAAAAAACCTAGATAAGCACAACTTTTGATTGAGAACAAAGTGCACTGATTTTAAAATAGACTATATTGACAACAGCCACAATTAACCAGTAAATCAATTTAATGGAACAAAAAAAACTAACTAAAAACAGTCACAAAACAAAATCAAGATTCAAAAAACAAGACCGAGCAACAAACATCAAAGTTCAAGGAAGCCAAAAAGTAACAAGTCAAGAAGTGAGACATAATTCATGTGCATAGCACTATCATAACTTAAAAATTCAGTCTTGATAACTTGAAGTGTAACGATTTTTTCTTTAGTAGTCCATCCCATAGTTGCAATTCATTACTTAATTCAGTATCTTTTCACTTGCAGAAAAAGAAAAGGAAAAACAAAGTTGGAGGTTTGTTTGATTGCTGAAAAAAGGCAGGACAAACGAAAAGTAGTTTAAAAAAATTTAATCTTCATATAGGTTGAATTGAGTTCTTCGATTTTACTTCTCAAATACTACCATATTAATCCCTGATTTCAGTTTTAATCTAGTTTAAAAAGCACAGAGCTCCGTTTGGTAGCTGAGAAAGTGCAAAGGGAAAAACAAATTGAAAATTGATTGTTAATGTGCTGGGGATGAAATTTTGACTACAGCAACAATCCAATTAAGATAGACACATAATATTTCTAGTAATTGAAAAGCAACGAGAAATTGATGATAAAGAGGAGTTAATTGAAGAGCGAAATATGGAGAAATGATAAGAAGGTGAGAGAATCTAACATTGGAAAAGATGATGAAGCGAAGGAGGTTCTTCAGGCGACGACTGTTCTCTTCCTTTCGCTTCTTCGCCCCTTGATTCGCCATCTCTGATCTCCCTCTCCCTCTCCCTCTCTCTCTCTCTCTCTCTATATATATATACGTATAGTAGTACAAAGCTAATCGAACAAAATCTCAGAAAGAACGACGCAGAAGCAGAAATTGGGGGAGAGAGAGAGAAAGGGAAAAGACTTCGAGCGTCAGGGCCCGTTTGGATGCGAGGTCATATAATCCCTAAACACGAAGAAGGTATTCCTATAACGGTTTTTAATGATATCCAATTGGTATATAAGAGCATTCTTTTTTATTGTTATTATTAAATTTGAATAAAAATTCTATTTGATATTAAGTACTCTAACGGAGAATTTTAACTTTTATCAAAATATCAGTCGACCGGCCAGTATATTTTTTTCATAAATTTTTGCTTAAAGTGGTCATTTGGAGATATTCGAGGGACATCTAGTAGTAAAAATCCAACGCTTATGAACAATAATTTGATGAAATCTCTTAGGTATCCTCAATTTAGTGAAAGATTTTTGATATTCTCAATTTGATACTCATTTGTAGGGGTGAAATCGGTTCGGTTCGGTCGATTTTTTCACTAGTTTTACACCGAACCGGTAATTTCGGTTTTATATATTCGTGAACCGAACCGCCCAGAAAAATGACATGAACCAACGCGGTACGGTTTATTACGATGCAGTGCGATTTTTTCGGTTTTTTGGCTCTTTTTTTTTTTTTTTTACGGTGTCGGTTCGGTTTATGGTTTTGATTTTTTGAACCGAACCGAACCGAACTTATATAATATTAATAGTCTTAAAATCCTAGCCATCCACGTGCATCATCTAAGTCATCGGTGTGTCTCACGATGTTAAAAAAGAAAAAGAAAAACATAACCACACATACACGGTTCACCAACCCCACCAACACACCACACCATAGATTTTTTTTCTTCTCTCTTCGTCTCTTCGTTTTTTCCTGAGAAGAAGCTCTCTCAGTTTCTCAGTTGATAATAATTGAATTATGTTGATAATAATTTTATTTTTTTACAAGTCTCTTTTGCTTGCTTAGTTGGAAAGTTCATGTTGCTGCTGCTTGCCTTAGATGATTTCTATTTTATGTTTTTGAGTTTGAGATTGATTATATTAATGGTTCTGTAATATATATTAAGGCTTAGATTTAGACACATAGTTTTATTATTGGATTGGATATATGGTTGGTTGATGGCTTAGACTTAGACTTGGATACAAGGCTTAGACTTTATGGTTGATATATGTTATTTTTCATTTTTTGTTGTATATGTTAATAATAGGGTAGGGCCAAAATGTAAGCCTAAACTTATGCAAGAATTACATAGCTTTTAGGCCCAAATTTTATGCAAATGGATAAGATATAGGCCCAAAATGTGAGGCCCAAAACCTATGCAGGAATTACATGGCTTGAGGCCGAAAATTTTATGCAAATGGATAAAAAATATCCAAAAGTGGAGGCCCAAACTATGTAGGAATACATGGCCTGAGCTCATAATTTATAGCAAAATGGATAGAAATATAGGCCTAAAATGTGAGGCCCAACCAGC